CAAATATTTTCTCTTAGTCCATGGCTTGTTTTTTTCATTGCCTTTTGCAGAACAGAAGTATTTAATTTTAATAAAGTCCAATGTATTTTTTTAAAAATCACAGCTAAGAACAGAGTTGGGATCTGTGTGTGAGAATTCACCATCACACAATCCAGTCCCTAATGTGGTTGGTTTTTTTTCTATTGCATGGGCCTCTCACCCTTCAACTTGCTTTCTTTTTAGAGAAAATGAAGCCTCTCCTCTGATCTCTCTCCCAACACAAGTCTGGCCACCATGTTAATTAATGTTTTGTGTTGATCCAGTGGTACCTGTCCACCCGGTGCACAGCAGCAGGCTGCCTATAACACTTAAAATTCTTATGCAAGACATGATGAACATTCCCTGGGAGGCCTATGCGCCCATCCATCACATTCTTTTTGCGGGGGATGTGGAACCAAGATTGAAAGGGCTGTCTTAAGTTTTCGACCTGGAAAAAAGAAAGAAAATACAAAGATTGCTAAACTAATAGGTAGCTCTGAGGACTAAACATGAACCCACAACTCAGAAGTGAAATATCTCAAAAGCAAAAAGATTACAAATGAATGGAAATAAAATTAGATAATCATCTATAGAAAATTTGGCAGCATTTCACATACCTTAAATTTAAGTATCACCTTATACTTTTTATGAAAACTAATTCTTTAATTTTTTTTTCAGTTGGATTAAACACATTATTCAAATCTTCAATATTCTTGGATTCTCCCTCACCCCATTCTAACTTGACCCCTGCCATTCCGACCCAAAACTGCCTGATCATGATCTCTGGGGCCAAGACTCAGGAGGACCCCTTGTAAATATTTCAGATGACTTACACGGATATTTTTCAGAACATGCTTTGAAAATATCTATAAAAGAAAAGAATCGACTGACTACAGATCTGATCCTTAGATGGAAGAAATTTTTCTAAGCCTAAAAATAAAATCAAGGGTAAATATTTTATAATTTAGCTTTATATTGTTATATAGAGAGAACTATATGTAAACTATACATATAAAGTTTAGAAGACTAGGGGAAAAATATTTGCTAATAATATAAAATACTTCTGACTGGCCCTAAAGGGTCTATAATGCTACATTAGGCGAGGGGAAAATTCAGAAGACAGTAAGTACCTGAAACATTTGGGTTTATGGAGATTTTCCAAATATTTAACTTCACAAGTACTATTATAGATACCATTTTTTAATCAAAGTATCTTTTAAGTGAGAATAGGAAATTTTAGGGGGAAAAATTGGTAAAGCAGATGCTTTCACATGGAGCTAGTGAGACTACAGAAATACAACTTTCTAGAAGGGCTTTTGTGCATTTTACAAACCTGTAAAACGTCTACACCCAGTGACCTCATAATTTGATATTTGGGAATCAAATCTCATGAAATAAAATTTAGACATCACCATACAAGTTAGCAGTTTTATAAAGCAGCAATGTGGAAATAATCTAGAATGTTTGCTGATAATAGCAAATTACAATTGAATAATTGAATGTTAAAGTATTAAATCCATTTAATATTTTGAAACATAATTAAGATACAAACATAAAATACAAAGTGTTAGAAAGTCTAGATGAGTCTTTTTCAAACTGGGTCATGAAATTAAATTAGGTGCTTGAAATCAGTTAAGTTCACATATGGGGCAGAGCTGCTAGAAAGGATAAGTATTGTTTCATGAAACTTATTTCTTATATGAATATGTATATCTTTCCATGAATTGTGGTTTAGAGAAAAAAAATTATTTTAAACTGCTTCTAATTCCCATCCCTTCCTTCCCTAGTGGCAAGAATTTACTCTTTACTGAATATTCCAAACTTTCTATAAATGAGATTATTTTTTATTGATCCCTCCAAAAACAAGTCCTTAATATTTACTGAGGGAATTTAAGTGGAAGGAAACCTGTGTGTCTTTAAATAATATATGAAGAGACAGGAGGACAAGATCACAGATCCTAAGAATTCAATCAAGTAGAGGTTATATATAGAGGCGTGGGACCAGAAAAATGTTGCCATATTATTAACATTTTAGGGTTTTTGTTTTGTTTTGTTTTTAACTGTATAGTTTCATTCTTTCCACATTTTGTTTCTTTTTGAAAGTGAACACAGCCTCTCTAGAAATAGAATAGAAAAAAGTACACAGAAGAACTTGACCTGATAGATACTCTTCGGATTGCTGACTTTAGGAATGATCCGGGGTTCCTTGCTACAACTTTCTTCATCAGAAGAAGTGCCAGAGGAGTAGTCTAATGTGGCTTTATTAACAGCATAACTGATTTGTTGGGACAGTTCCCATTCCTCCCATCTGCCCTTAAAAGAAGCAATTATAAATGGATGGTTTTTCTCACCATACCTAAACAGGAAAATAAATTATTCATTAAGGATTCAACTTCCCACAAATTTTATCTCTAATCCTGTTTGAAGACAACATGTTAACATTTTAAAAGGGTTATTTTAAAAAGGGATGGGTCTAAAAATACAAATCAAAGGACATTATGACCTTCAGCTACCACACTGTAGTAATTAGTGAGGACATCCCGTAAGAGCTATTTTGGTTAATTGCTTAGGAAAAGACTAAGACCAATTTCTTTTAGTTCAACTAATGGACTAAATTGCCTCCAGTGGTAGATAATTCCCCTTTCTTCCCGATATTGTATATAATACTTAGAAGTTAAATCTATAGTTTGCAATAGGGTGCAGCCATTGACGTCACATTGCAAGTATTTTGCAAAATTTCTGGCCAACCTTCTCTGTCCACTTCTAGTGAAAATCTGTGCTGTCTATCAGAAGTTTGCATCTATAATCATAGCCAAACAATGTCCTGGCTGAGGCTCTGGAGCACTGTCTTTCACAAGGGTGTACAGAGCTGACCAAATAACCTAAGGCTTCCAGTGGTCACAGCACACAAATTCAGATTACTCACCTACAGCACACTTCAAAGGGATCTACCCATAGGGTCAGCTCCTTTGGAAGTCCCAGGTGAGAAAAATTCACATTACTCTCAGCACAAGCCCTTTCTAGAATGGGGTCTTTATTCTGATTGTTTATCCTGATACACCTTAGGGGTCAAAAGGAAAGGGAAAGGAAGTGAGGACGCGATGACAGGTACTTCAGCAGCAAAATTATGTTGTGGGCATCCTCCAGCACACACAGCTCCACTCACCCCACTCCCCTCCACCCGCCATTCTTACAAGTAGGAATAAAACATCAACTTTTGATGCAATGATTCAGAATGTGTGTTGTATCGCTAAATCATGTGATTAGGTCACCAAACACTTGCTGTGTATCTTTCATGAGAAAAACAAGTTAAAAACCAGGCATCATGCACCCTTGGTCCCAGCTACTCAAGAGGTTGAGGTGGAAGGATAGCTTGAGCCTAGGAGTTCCACACCAGCCTGGGGAAACACAGTGAGACCTGGTCTCAAAAACAAAATTGAAACAAAAACAAAAACAAAAACTAATTGTCCAATCCACCACACATGTAGGTCTGTAGTTTTCAATTCCACTGTCATGTTCCTATGGCTTTCAAACCCACATTCAAACAATTGAATTTGAGCCCATAACACTTTATTTTTAGTTGTCAATGGACTTTTATTTTATTTATTTATATGTGGTGCTGAGAATCAAACCCAGTGCCTCACACATGCTAGGCAAGTGCTCCACCACTGAGCCACAAACCCAGCACCCCCATAACACTTTTGAATGTGTTAGACAAACAACAAAATTCCTGCTTTTTCCTAGAGATGGTCTATGTTGCCCATTACTTGCCTTTGCCATGCCACATACGAGTTCTCTCACCTGAAGGCTTGCCCTTTAGAAGGGCAACCAGGGTGCCAGTGACCTCTGTATGTTTCAAACAAGATTATCATCAGCTTTTCTGCAAATTTTTCTATTTGCTGTTTACTCAGTTTTTCATGTTCCTTCACCAATCTTGTGACAAAGAAAACTGCTACTGCAATTTCATCTCTCATGATTTAAAAACAATCTATGAGGAGACCTGAAACCACTAAAAGGAAGCAAGAAGAAATTACATAGAAATGAGGACTTAATTATTGATATATAATTGCCATTTGGGAATATTATATAGTTTAAATATAGTAAAACAGAAATCATTTGCTAGAAAGAAATCCTTAGTGAACTAAATAAGCACATCAACACTATCAATCAACAAAATAACCACGAATACCAACTCCTCAACTTGCTCATTTTTAAAGTTTTCAAAGGAAAGAACTTTAAGAGCTTAAAATACTTACAAAATGTAATTTTGCAACTTAAGTAAAAAAGACCCTAATATGGGACAGTAACTTACATCAAGCACCACTTTTTAAAAACACATTTACAAAGGGCAAAACATTTTAGCAGATAGTAGGCTGAAACCATGGCTTACAAAGTTGCACACTTTAAGATTATCAATCATATACTTGCCAGAAAAATATCTTTAGTCCCCACAAAATTAGACCAGAGTTTAAAGACCAACTATGCTATATACTTTTTGCTGCCAGCTCTCACTCACACCTGTTTTGTGAGTGCTGGGCTGCAGTTTATATAAGCCTGGGCCTTAAAGGCTGATTGGTGAGTGTCCTTACACAGGTGCTGTACCTTAGGATAAGCACATAGCTTTTTTTCAGGACTCCAGTAGATTGCTCTTTGGCAGATAAAGAGTGGATTCTTCAATTAAGGTGTTTAAAAATTTTCAAGCAGGATTTCTATCTTCTATTTATCTTGCTACTAACATATGACAATGAGCAAGAATGACACCTTCTTCTTCCATATCCTAATATCCTACAGTTCAGTAATTTCATCTCTAATTCTGTCAACATAGTAAATTTCATCTTGGATCTTTAACAAAACTTAAACTTTTTTTGAATAGTTGTTATACTGACTACATACTTTTTAATTAAAATGTTTATTTATAGAATAAGTGGAAGAGATCTGAGTTTAGTTTCACTAGTTTTCAAAGGGAAAGTCAGTGACCACCTGATTGTACCTTCTGGATTGCATGCTAAAAATGCAAGCTCTTGTACCTTAACCCAGATCTGCTGAAGCAATCTTCTAAAGGTAAGGCATGCTAATCAGTAGTTGGCAAGTTCTCCCAGATGATACTTATACCCACTAAAATTTAAGAATCATCACACCTAATATCGTAGATATTTATCACCCACAATTAATGATCATTCAGTTTCTTTACTAGAGAAAATTAATTCACTGTCTCACAAAAGCCTTCCTTCCTATGTGGAACCAAATTCACCTCTTTGATTTTCTACATGTGCAGCCTAGTTTTTCCCTCTGACACTAGAAAGACTGTACCTAATTCTCCAACACAAGATGATGTTTCAAAAATTAGCTACTCAACCCCCTGGGTCTTCTCTTTTATGTTATATTTAGACACTAAATTCCCATCTTGTTCATTGTTCTTCTGTAGACATATTACACCACTCACTGTGCTGAGGACTCACATCCAGAGGAGCTTCAGGTGTGTCAGTAATGCTCTTTTTAAAGTGTGGGTCCCAGACTTGTGTACAAAGCTCCAGGTGTGTTCCACCAGTAAAGTCTAGCGTGGGACTGTGGCCTCGCTTGCTCTGAATGCTGTCTTCTAGGAGGCAGCCTCAGGTGGCGTTCCCCTTGTTGGCAGTGGCCTCACCCACGACCTCCCACTGAACTTGCAAGTCGTATTTCTCATGCTGTCGTTTTGTCACATCTTTCCCTTCCTGCTCAGTATGATATTTAAGAACATGGCCTTTGGAGTCAGACAGACCTGGATGCGAACTGCAACTTTACAACTCACTAGCTGTGTGATTTGGGGGCATCTTGCTGAATCTGTAACTTTCAGTTTCCTGTCTGCGAACAGGAGGTACCACAGCAACCTCATAAGCTTGTTATCAAGATTACAATCAACAATTAAAGCATCTGGTCTTAAAGCTGCAGGAAAAGAGAGAATACAGCAGGGTAGTTATAAAATCAACATTGTGGATCAAATCCTAGTCCTCCAGCTTACTAGAAACTTAAAGTAAGTTTCTCAACCTCTCTAATCTACAAAATCTACATCTGGAAAAATGGAGAAGAAATGTGCCTAGGAAGAATTTGGAACTACACTGCTGACTTTGGATCCTGGCTCCATTTAATGTGTTACCTTAGCAAATTATTTAACCTCTCTGTCTCTCAATTTCTTCATGTATATAAAGTCTATAACAGTACTTACTTTATAGGATTGTTATAAGAATCATGTGAAATGTCTAGAAGAGTACTGGGTACTCAGTAAGTACTCTGTAAATGTTAAATATTATTACTGTTCCTTCTGTGGAATGAAATTGGCCAAATTATAATGCTATATTATGTGCATGTACAAATATGTAACAATGAATTCCACTATTATGTATATATATATAATGCACTAAGAAAAAAGTTAAGTTGATCACATCTCTTTTAAAAAAATATTGCTAGTACCACTACTACTATTGTTTTACAGGATTCTTGTCAAGATTAAATTATAAAATTTACATAAAGCACTTAACAGAGTGCCTGGTATAAAGCAAGTGCTCAAGATGTGGTAGCCCTTCTTATTAACACACATAAGTAAAGGATTTTAGACTTATTTTATTAGGATACTTTTAATGCTATGTGGTATAAATGGAGTATAAAACAACTACATATACAATTATACCTATCATAATTCTTTGTGCTTATTTATCTATTGTTATGGCACTGGGGATCAATCCCAGGGCCAGAGTACACTGCCACTGAGATACATTCCAGCCCATTGTGTTAAATTTAAATTCTTGCTACAGTGAGTCCAGATTATTTGTGACCCTGATTTCATCATCCAGTAAATTATTTTTCTGGCTTCCTGTCATCTGTACATTTGATAAAAAGACCACTTGAGACCTCCAACAAGCAATGAATAAGGAAGTTGAATAGGATTAAAGATCAAGCGTTTTGACAAAATTCTAGGAAATCGCACTTTAGATTGGTGTTCTTTCCACTCAATGGAAAAGTAGTCAATTGGAAATCTGCATGCAGTATTCTTTTAATCTATCAGGAGAGTAACCTTATCATAAAAGGAAAAGGCACTTTAACCTGACATGCCTTGTTCTTTGGGAACTGTTATTCCAAGTAATACCAAATTCAACCATGCCTTATTTTTAAAAAGTTACTAAAACAAATTAAATGTTTTTAAAAATAGTAAACTTGAAAAACATATGTAGTTCTTAACCACAAACAGGTCAAAATTTATAGTATATGAACCTGATATTTATAATAATAATATATGAATCTAAAATTTATCATCAATAAGCTTCAGATCCTAACATCCAAGAGTAAAAATTTGAGCTTCTTTGGTTTCATAAAATTATTATAATTCAAAATTCTTGTACTAGTATAGTATAAACCACAATGACATACATAAAGATAGCACTCATGGAGTTCATAAATTTCAGACTCAGGTAATATTTGTGGTCTGAACCCTGAAACTTATCTGTTTATAAACTAGTTTCAATAAAATGAAGTTTAAAAGCCTAAGTTATAGTTACATCTTCCCTTCTCCTATGGTCATGGACAAATTAATTAATTTTACTATATCTTTGTTTTATCTAAATCTACTGTCTCAATTTTGCTTTGAGCTCTTCAGAAAAAAAGGGCAGAATAAGATGTCTACTGCAATATATAACATGAAAAACAGTGGTAAAATAAAGTTTACTTAGAAATTCAAAGTAAATGGAAAATCAAATGTGCTGATCTTTAGGATCTACTATGCTTATAATCTAACAAGATGAAAAACATATCTGTTGACAACCTACACACACAAAAAAAAAAAATTTTTTTTCAAGTTACTCTAGAATACTTTGGAATATATTCTAAAGACAGAGCTTCAAGGATTTATTTTTAAAGTCTTTTAGTAGACTAATTATTGATGTTAATATTAGTAGTACTATTAAAGTGATCATATGAATATATAGAAACAAGTAGGATAGAGTAAATCAAATATTTAATGATCTTAATGAAATAAGATTATTATATAAGAAAAAGAGATAATAGTACAAAATCAAAGAAATTAAGTAAAACTCTATAGTGTTAAATTTGAAATGGCAATATTAATTTGAACTTGTGATTTTGCTTTCAAAAAATAGTTATTTTAGTCTGTCCACTGAACAGACCTAGAATTGAGCAATAAGCAAACTTCATTTTGTGGTCTCTACATAACATTCCCCACTTTAAAAAAAAAAAATTTTTTTTTTTTTTTGAGAAATGCCCAAATCCAATTCTAGTTCAGGTGATATATGAGAGGAATCTGGAATGTCTTTTTGGTAGATATAAAAAAAAAAAAATGAGTCATGTCAAAAGACACAACAGCCAACTTGAAGAGCTCCCAATAGCCAAAGTAAGTCAATGTGAACACCATAGCTGGTGTCATGGTCCTCCTTCAGGAACAATGCAATCATCCCCCAACTATTAGAAAGATCAAGTGCTGACAGTTCATAGTTGCATTCAGGAACTGCTGGCCTCAGGAACTGCCTCACCTAAAGTTATCCCTACCTTCAAGACATCTACAGTCATTGGCAGGCCACTTTGGGATATAAAAACCTTCCCTTGGCTTAATTTGCAATATCTCTGAAGGGCTATCCCATCTTGACAGCTTCCCACAAGATAGGCCAGGGCCTCCAATGCAACTTAGTCAGTGATGGGCTATCCCATCTTGACAGCTTCCCACAAGATAGGCCAAGGTTTCCAATGCAACTTAGTCAGTGATGGCCTCTCATTCTGCCCAGTCCTATCTTCCCACTTCCTCACTCTCCCAAGGAATATACCTTCCACATGCAACTCGCATCTCCAAGTCTGTTTTAAGGAACCCAGCCTAAGACAATTGGTACCAAGAGTGTTTTAAGAGAGCATACTCTAAAATCAGGTTCTAGAGCTAGATTACTCACTTGCTGACTGAAATAAACACCTCATGACCAGTAATGGTAGAATATGGACCATAATATATCCTAACATACCGAGTAGTATGATTGC